AGACGAGTGCCGAGCAGACGGACAGCGGGTCAGGCACGGCGCAGCAGTCCCTCTCCTCCCGTCTGGTTCCCTTCTTGAATGCTTTGCTTGGGCCATTGATCCAGCGGGGGAGGCGGGGGGGCTGCCGCTCCCCTCCTGGGTTTCCTCAGAGCCACCCCACTCAGAGGAGCAGATGCTTTGGGGTCAGTCCAGTGACAAGACACCCACCCACAGAGAGAAAGCACGAAGGAGCGAGATCCTACTGCAGAGCGAGATATAAATAAATAAAATACGCTAGAGGAAAAAGACGTGTGAAGGAAACAACAGTGCCAGGCAGAGGACGGGTTACTGCAAGGCGGCAGCGTCTGTTCCCTTGGATGACTGACAGCATCGCTGTATGTGTTGAGACACAAGATCCTTCCTTGCTAGCCATACTCTCCAGAGGTGTGGGCTGTTAAAGCCAGGTTCTGATCTGTCTCCCTGACATTGAATGCTTCCCCCTTCTTTCACAGATACAGTCTCTTGCTCTGATCCACAGCATCGCTACGGCTTCAGAGAGAGAACAGCCCAGCCCGACCCAGCTCCGCTTGACATGGGGGACAAGGGACAGGCTGGTATCTCTTTCATGTGTCCTCTTAAGTTTGCATGCAGGAGATCTCTTAATGCCCATCTTGCCCCATGATAACGGGCAGAGGTGACTGAATTTAGGTCAGCTCTTAACCTTTTTTTTTTTCTCTTGTGCAGGAAAAATGATAGCGTAAAGGAGAGCCTGGCAGCGCTCAGCTACCTAGTGATACAGAAAGGATAAGCAGCCACATTACTTTGTCACCTGCTTGCAGCATGCTGATGGAGCTACTGTTTCAGGCACTCTGCAAATTCAGGGAGGCACTGATGCCTCAGTTCATAGCTTCGAAATGCTGTCGTCAGACCATGGAATAAGACACATCTTTGCTTTATTAATGAGAAAAGAAGATCAGGAAGGAATAGGAGGGTGCATGTGATGTCCTCTCATCTGTGGTGACACCAAAGCTGAGAACTCTGTGGTTTAGGGTATTTACCCATAGAAAATCAAAGCAGTGTGGAAGGCAGGGAGTCCCAGGTTTGCTCACTTCCCATCATTCATGGCTGTTGGATCCCTTACTCACCTGAGACCGTAACTTAGGAATGTAAGTGAGGGAAACCACACAGAGCATTCAAAGCAAAGTCCAACATGACCTTGTATCCATCTGGCATGACTCAGGAAGAGAAGCCAACACAGCACGGCATAGGAGGAAGAAGAGTGACTCACCGAAGTTCTCCCCACCCCAGATGTCCATCGCACTGTCGTACTTCCCCAGGTAGTTGAACCAGGCTTTGTCGATCACAAACAGCCCCCCGGCAATGATGGGAGTCCTGCAGGATGGGGAAGGGAAGAGGGGACACACTCTCAAACACTGCTGCAGCACCTGGATGCACAGGAGCAGCCCTTCCCTTTGCCTCCTCCTCCTCCATCATCAGGACATTACCTATGTATCTCCTTCTCACCAAACAAAGGCAACACACCTCAAAAAGCATCTGAGCCTTTCTTTCAGCTGCCTTTGTATTTTGCTGTCAATCATAAATTGCCTGGCACTTAATGACTAATGACGGCTAATGCACCCGTCAGCGCAACTCCTACAAGCCCAAAGTTCACAGTCCTGATTGTAGGCTTCAGCATCAAAAATGCACTTAGCGCTCAGGGGGTTATTCACTCAGATGGGCTTTTTGCCTGGAGCCAGCCTATTAAGAGCACCATTCCACTGGGGAGGAGAAGGCAGAGCCAATTCAGAAGGGCTTTTTAAAAGCCATCACTAACTGTGTGATCTTTATTTCAAAACAGCGTTATTTTTCATTCTTTGGATTAGCTAAGAAAACTGTACAGAGAAGGTCCGTGGAGGAGGGGAGGGCAGACCCAGAAGATAGCTGGAGGAGACTTGCCATTTGCTGGCACAATTCCCGTCGCCATTCAATTGCAGACAGTGTGGATGCCTTAGCGGAGGCTTGGGAGGAGCTGGGGTGGCTGCTGTGCCAGGCTACTCTCCACAGTGCCCTACATGGCAGGACAACCAGGAACGCAAGGCGAGCCTTTGGGAAGCCAGCGAGAGCTCCTGTTAACAACAGCATCCTAAGGAGAAGCAGTGCTTTGCCCCGCTGCGAGCTTTCTGACGCCCTGAGCTTCCCCCAGCGCTGGGTCTCCTCCATGCCGCCCACCCCAGCGCTTCATGGCCGGGGATGCAGACACCAGCACTAGGCTTGCTGCCAGGAGAGATCTTCAGCAGAATGAAGGACTCCCTCCATCCCACGGCATGAGGACAGATGGCATCTCTCCCGTTCAGTTTCACTATCTCTCCTGCACATCCTGAATTTCTGAGGAGCCTTCAGCAAGGTCCAGAAGAGCAGCACTGATCTGGAAAGGCTGGACTTGACAGCACGTTTTTATCAAGTGGGCTGAGGACACTGCCTTATTTTTAAGCAATAGCTGAGCTGAAAGAAGCAGAAATCTAGAGCACTACGCTTTTTCCCTAACCATATTCAGCCTCCTTAGCACTACCAAAACACAACTAACCATAAATATACCCATTCTACCTTTGTAGCACCCTCAGGCTTTGGTGTTGGGATGTAAAGCTGTACTGCAAAACCCAAGCTAGCCAGGATCTCGCTATAGGTATTAGAAGTTCAGAGATGTCCTGGAAGGAATATCCCACTGTTATGGGGCATGGTGACACCCATGAGGTCAGATGAGATGCCTGCCCTGCCCCACATTCCTCAGGTGCCTCCTTCCCCCCCTCTTGACTTACTTAATTGGTTCGGTGGGATCAAGCCGTTTGGCTTTCTGCTCTGGGGAAAGCTGCTCCCATTTGAAATGCAGACTCCAGTCAAAACCTAAAACCAAAGCAGAGAAGTACCATGGGGAAATTACAAATTGGCATGGATTAGGAGGCAATACAGGCTGCAGAAGCTGTGTTTGGTGGAGTATTTTCTGCACCTCCAAATGACTTAGGCCATGGAGATGCAACTCTTGGGAGAAGAGTCCAATGACTAACATATTTTACTACTGCATGTGAACAAGAAACTACATATTGCATTGCAATTGCAAAGTCAAGCACTCTAAAGGCAGGAAAAGTCAGAATTAAAACTGCTGCTGAAACCTCACTTTGTCCCCTTGTGCACAGAGATACACGCTCCGATGGATACTGCGTGCTACAAATAGCACAGGCGTACTAATAAGTGCTACAGTCACATCCTCCATTTGTTGCCTAGACATCCCCCATCTCCTCTGGTCGGCAGCCTGGCTTTCAGTGCTGCCAAAGGTGGCTTCGACATGACCCTTCTTTCCTGCTTGACCGCCTTACCCGCTGTAGCAAATGCCATTCCTCACGCCACGCTCAGCTGTCTCTAACATTGCCTGAAAACACCCAGCGGGGAGCACGGAACGGTGCTAATGTGCTTTCTGCAAGATAGCAGGACCCAGCGGTGTGGTGCAGAGCCACCAGCTCCTCGGGCCAGCACGTGTCCACACCACAGAATGGATGCCCACGGGGCTTGGACTTACCTCCTCTGAGGTCTGAGGAAGCCGCCACATACGCAAAAGTGTCCAAGTTGATGATGTCGATAACGGGGCTGACCACTCGGGTGGAATCCTGGAAAGCAGAAGCGAAACGACCTGTGACTTCAGATCACGCCGCTCAGATCAAGGGGTGCCCTAAACACCCGGAGACACCAGGTGGTTGGAAATCTTGGTGTCATCCAAGTTTGCCAGGGACAAGCGCCCATCACCGCCGCCTCCACCTCAGCCATCACATCAGCTCAACCAAGGAATTAATGGCAGCAGCGCCAAGCGGCAGAGTATTGCCGGGAGCCAGGGGCACGCCGGCAAGAGAGGCTGGGAAGGCTGGCGCTGACTCTGCTGGGAAAGACGCTGCGTGCTGCTGGGCCGCTGAGCTGGCACCTCGCACCGGCTTTGGCTTTGCCCGCGGTCTCTGCCTCCGCAGGCTGTGCGCGTACCCGGCGCCCAGCTCGGCTGGATGCGAAGCTCCGCCTGCCTTTTGCAAATTCAGGGGTGTGTTCCCCTTTCACCTGCCTTAAATACTTTCTGCTGGATTTCAGAAGCCAGGTGACGAACAGGCAGTTGAAACGACACAGGAAAAACACAGACAGTCAAGCAGCTTAAATACAGGTATTTTTTAAATGTACAAACTATGGGGACACAGTTAGAGTTTTGCCAAAGGTGTGAAAGGGTTAAAAAAAAAAGCTGAATTATTTTCAATAGTTGGTGGTGATTTAATTAACATCTTGTTATGGGCAAAGAGATTATACAAACAGTTATGAACAAAAATACCTACAGGAGGAAAAGACTCTGACAGCTTTGACTGGTCTCTTATCTCCCTTTTTCTTTTCAAAAATCCAAACTCCAATTATAGCTCAAACTTCAAGCTTTTACCCTTCCAGATCAAATTGTTTTTCACAGCCATGCAAAGGAAAGCATCTGAGCACACAGGGCTTGCTCTCTCGCTGGGAGAAGACTTTGTTTTAGAAATTAGTCCTAACAAAGAAGTATTTAAACGCAGCCGTAGGAAGAAGCAACCAAAGGCCATGAGCCGAGAGCTGGACTAGAGCTCAGGTTTTCCAAATGAGCATGACAAATACTTGGTATTTCCATAACAACATCGTCAGGTTTCTTAACGTGACCTTCTTCGAGTCAAACATCCCACTGAAAAGGCAAGGTCTGCTGTACCTACCTACCACCGGGGGAAACTCAAGTCACGTCCAAGCGCAATGAACCTTTCAAGCCCATGGTAGCTGCTGCACAGTGCAGCCCAAGCTGCCACAGCTCAGCATACCCAAGCATCCTTAAGTTGCCTGAGGGTAAGGGAAAGGTTTTAAGCAAAGCACCTGCTTTGTGTGCAGGACGCTGCAGGGAAAGAATCGTAACTAGTCATTTAAAACCTGCCCCTCAAGCATCTTACTAGTGAGCACTTCTAACTACCTGACACTCATCCCCAATTTCAGTTCCACTCCTACTCATCGCACAGCACAACTTCTTGCAAGAAAATCCCCTTTACATCTTGGCTGAGTGCATTACTGTAAAATGCTAGCCTTCAGCAGTGCAGCCTTCTCCCTGCCTCACTTTCCCTGCCATGTCCTGGGAGCATTTATATTTACTCAGCTTTCATGAAGGTCTCTCTGACCCTCAAAAGAAAAGCACGATATGCTCAAGAGCACAGAGCTGTTGCTATGATTTATTTTGGGTTCAGCACCAGATTCTATTATAGACAGATTCACCTTTCTATTTTTTTGATACCCTTCCATGCCAGGACATGTTAATATTAACAACACTGAAATCTTCAATCCTCTTTCACATGAAATTCTCAAAAACCTGTGAACGCGTTTCTCCAATACACTTCTCAAACCAAATTATAGAACTAAATCAACAGGGAAAAACTCTGAAAATTATCCTGAAGACAACAGATACATTTCAACCTCGGAAAAAGACCTTGACTCCAGCTTGTCTCCCAACCTCTACGTCATGACCTTGTAAAGGTTAACAGAAAGAGCCATGGTTGCTCCTCTGGCCCCACAGCAGCATTATGCAAGGTGAGAAGGCCAGGATGCCCCTCACCTGCCTCCCCCCTGCTCCCAGAGACCATCAGACTTGGGGGGGGGGGTGTGCCTGAGTTGGAAGTGGGGTGTCACCATCCACTGGTTCATCCCAATGCCATTTGCAAATCCAGCTTTGGGGCGAGCTCGTTGAGTCATACTGTAAAAATACCTTGGGCTGGATAATTACATTTTTAGAAAAGTTACTCAGTTTAAATGCACCATTAATGGCTCTAGAGATATTTGTTCCGTAAGTAAAAACAAGAGCCCGTGCCCACGCGCTCATAGTCACACGCTTGCAAACGTGCTGGTGTAAAACACCCGCTGTCGCTGCCCCTCCCTGGGACATGCACCCTCCCAGGCACAGGTCCGAGACCCTCCCGGACCCCCTCTCTTCCCCCCACACCCCTTTAATCGCTCTTAGACTTTCTAGTCCTGCTTGTTTCCAAATTCATATGCTGGGCACGTGCTGCCCGCACCCAAGAGGGAGCGCTGGGCTAGGGGGGATGCCGTCAGCTGCAGGGTGCAGGGGAAGCGGGATGCGGGGGGCTGGAGGGGCACCTTCCTGTGGGTGCAACGGTGGCAGACACCGGCTCTGGCGCTTCCCACCACGGAAAGCTGCAGGAATAGCTGCTCCGACTGAGAAAAGAGAAGCGAAGCGACATGCAGGGTGGCTGGTGGTGGCGAAAGCGCCAGGTGTGCTTCGAGGCGCTCACCGCTCCTTTGCCTGAAAGTTAAATCACATGAGCTCAACAGACTGATCCCAGGAGCAACACAGCGAGAAAAGGCTTTTTCTAGGCGGCTAATCCTCACGGCAGCGGTCGGACGGGGAAGCCGGCTCTCAGCACAGCCTGAAGGTGGCAGCAGTAACATTTCATACACTTCACTGATCAATATTTTAACCCTGACGGACAGGATGGGTACGGTGGGCCTGGGAAAAACGAAACCGGGGACTCTCTGCCCTTAGCCTGCAGCTTTTGCGAGCAGTTAAAAAGCAAGCAAGCGGGACGCCACTTGCTTTGCAAGACCCTCAAGTTACACTCTTCGCGGTAAGTTGCCCGAGCTGCCTGGGCTGCAAGACTCTGGGCAGGGCAAGAGCAGCACGAGCAGCAGCACAAGCTTACAGACTGCCTTACGTGCAGCCAGAAGAAGATTTAACCCGTAAGAGCGAATAAAAAGAAGTCCACGGAGGTGACGCACGCATTTGATACTATATCCAGACCACGATGCAGTGGAACTCCTACGGCGATGCCACACGTGGCATCCACATCCACCCACCCCAGGCGTGCCGAACAGTCCCGGAGCTACGCAGGAAAGCGGCTCTGCCTGCCCCTTTCCTGCTGCCACCGCTGCCCTTCTCCTGCCAAAACACATCAAAAGCCTGGGGCAGGCCAGCTATGAAGCTCGAGTGAGGTATCATAGCACGCATTCTCGTAATTCCACCGGAGCTGCAATCAATAATATGAAAAAGTCATTTCCATTATATTACCATTTATCAGCAGCACTGTGGTCCAGCCTGCAAACCGAGATTGGGACCTCTCCAGCGCTGGCTGCGCTACAAGCGCCAGCAGCACTGGCTGCCCTCACCCACCACGGAGGGACCTGACCTGGTGCTGTGCCCCAGTTCCCCCCGCCCCATCGCTGCCGCACACTGGGGACGCACAGCCCAGCCATCGCAGATGGAGGCATGAAAAGCGGGACACCGTTGACGAGGGGCACCGAGAACACCAGTCGAGCGGGTTTCTCCATAGCCCACTGCCTCGGCTTCCCCTTGCTCCTCAGCTACCCTTATTTCAACATAATTCAGTAGTCTTAAAACTACCGAGGAGTAGTTTTTTAATCACGAGTTAAAGCAGTTTTCTAATCAGGAGCCAGCAGTGAGGCAAGGGTGGAGGAACAAGGCACGGCGAAGGGAAAGAACCACGCGTCCATGCCGGAGCTGAAGGCTTCGTCCCCTGCACTGTGCCAGCAGGTCACCAGCACAGAGCTCCCTCCAACAAGCGACAAGGTGCCGGGAGCCTCCGTGCACACGTCTGGCGAGAGAGTCGCCGCCGGGGAAAAGCGAATGTCATTGTCTGCTCCGAAATCAGCAGAATTTAAATCCTATTAAATCAATTTATTAGCACTTAATTTGCATGAAATTAAATTCGGCCCTTCTTATTCAAGGAGCCGTCACTCCCTTAAATCATCAGCACTGAGCATTTTACATGAGCCTAATTAAAAACTCCACAGGAGCACTGCCCATGTATTCCCCTTTCACCACTCAACCTGTGCTTGCCGGGTAGAGCACCACTGCCCCGGGAGGCACCTTGTCCCACCCATCTACACGCTCTCCCAGTCATGGAGACAACCCTGCTGCTGGGTGAAGGAAGACCAGCAAAGGCCACTTTGCACCCCAAAAGCTCATCACTTTCTTACATGGATGCCTGCACGCAGCTGGTTACAGCTGGGTGGTCATGCCCACTGAGAGGGAAGAGGAGGTGGACATCAGTGATGTATCCCCTGAAGGTGGCCCTGGTCTCTCAGGAGCACTCACCTCTTTGATCCTCTGCAGCAGAGGGAGCAGCCAGTCCTTATTCACCTCGCAGTGACTGTCAAGGAAGGTCAGGACTCCTGCTTGTGCCACATCTGCCCCTCGGATTCTGGACCGGATCAGACCTGTTGAGGGACACACCACGTCAGCTGCCACCCAGATGGCTGGGCAACGTCCCCGGGCTCCTCCAGCATGGTCTCCTGCACTCATGCATCTCCTGGGTTTTGACCCACCTAAATCCCATTCACATAAAACATGGCTCGGGTTCATTGCTTCCTTCCCGGTGCTGCAAAGCATGCCAACCGTTTCCCGAGGTCACCAAAGTAAATAAATGGCTTCGCCAAGATTAATGATTGATGACATTTACGACAATCCCTAATTTGTGCAATTATTTCTGCTGTCACCTTCTGGGGCAAAACACGACTCAAAATGCTTTCATAACCCCCTGCAGGTAATAAATCTAAGACAGATGTAAGTCAGTGAGGAATGGGTCAGGATAGTCGAGGGTCGGATCACCTCATGCCAGAATTAGGCTTTTCTTAGACTGCTGTTCCTTTCCCTGCTGTGTCCCTTTCCATGTCCCAGCAACCCCAAATCCCTCTCCCACTCTGGGGGCACTGCTGCTCAATGGGAACACATTTTCCAACAAGGAAAGAGGGTCAGCTCTCAAGGTGCTAAGAGCCCTCTTGGCTCATCAGGGCTCTGACGGCAAATTTAGAGTCCTTTGGAGCTGGAGATGGATTGCTGCGTGCGTTTGTGGGAGAGAAAAATTAACAAAGAGGGAGCTCATGGTAAACAGCTGCACGCGTGGATTTCACACTAGACTCTTTGGCAAGATCACCGCCCTTAAAGATGCTCTGTTCCTATTTATACAGGAATCAACCAGCTTTCCAACACTCCTCCTGCCTGCGGCCAATGCTCAAGTGAACGGCAACATGAGAAAGGAGATGATCTGTGGGCAAACAAGAGGACACGCAGATTGCTCAAGGGGAGCAGAGTTTCTTGGTGAAGCAGAAACAGCGAGTAATATAAGGGGAGAGAGAGGCAGATAGAGAGAGAAGGGTTTCAGGGAGCAGCCACACATCAGGTCCATGCAGAAGGAGGTTACTGACTTTCATATTAAAATTCCCTAGGGGAAAGGGGTCAAGGAACAGCCTCTGAGCAGGAGGGAGAGGGACAGGAGAACAAAGCCTGGAGCAACCCAGCATTTGCCAAGGTCACTTCCCGCAATGCGGGTTGTCCCTGTATATCTCTTTGCAACTTCTAAGATCTTGTGGGTAGGCACAGAGTGCTGTTCCCTCCCCAGCCTTCCCCAAATCCTGGCAGGTCCTGAGTGATACGGCTTCAGTGACGTATTAAGTGAGGTAAGCTCTCCAGGCTGGGTTCCCGAGTCCTGACTGCTTTATAGAGCACCAATACCTACAGGTCCATCCAGCGCTGGGGGTGAGCACATATGTACCCCCGTAACACAGGAGAGAAAGGTGAGAAGGAGGTGTGGGTCTATGGAGACCTCCCCTACCCTCCTGCCAAAGCAGGTATGTCTCTTACACCCATGGGGGGGGTGATGCCACCCTGACACCAGACCTGCAGAGCTGAGACCTGCAGAAAGACTCCACAGACAAACCCTCTCCGTTCCTCAATCTCCCCAACCTGACAAATGCCTGGACTCATACCTTTGGTTTTCAGCATGAAAAAACTTCTTCGTTTTTTGTTTTCCTAATATTGCAAAGCAGGACTTGAAAAAACCCATTCAGACTTTGGGGAGCTGGAAAATGTCTCAAAAGGTTGTCAGCAGCAGCCCAGTAGGACATACATTCATCCTCCATATAGCCCTTCTTAATCTTTCAAATATAATATAAATCCCACAGAAGCAGCAGGAGCAGATCTCCCCTCTTTCATTAGAGCAAACATCTTCAAAAATAAGACCCGGGGCTTTGTTTTGCCTGTTCTAATTTTCTGGCTAATAAGCTACAGCTGAGCCTCACTGGATATCTTAACAGTCCCATCTTTTTCAGTGAGAGAGGGGAGATCCATTTAAAATCCCACCCCTTCATCACATCTCCTTTTATCAGGGTCCCCCGTCCACGGGAGCTGCTGACCTCCCTTGTCAGTCACTCCACTGAGATCCCCACCCTGTTCCATCATTCCCCCACCTCCCAAAATCTGGGTTTCCCACCTGGGTCGTGGGCAGGCAGCTCTTACCTTCTCGCCGTCCGTTCCGCAAGCACTTCACCCTGGGGAGCTTGCCCAGCAAGCGGCAGTCGTCAGCTTGGGAAACACAAAGGCAGGACATGTCACCCTCAGCCCTCACGGCAGCTCTGGCAGCAGAAATGGTCCTAGGGGAGATTAGGAGCAGGGAGAGGACCCCATCCTGGACGGGCGGATGGCTCGTCAGGGCGATGGCACTGCTGGGTCACAACAACCTTACCCCTCAGCTCATGCAGCATAAATTGGGACTGGCAGAGCAGCAGTTCTCATAAAACTAGCGTAGCCCCATCCAATTTACACCGAGAACAGCTGAATTACGCTGTAAAGTCAGCGTAGAAGAGCCGTGGTTGGGGTCAGAGTCAGAGTTTTTGCACATTAATACAAATTATTATTTTTGGTAGCTGCGAAGCAACACGTAAGTCGTTTGATGTCTGTCTGTGCGGCGGGGCAGGAGCGTCCTGAGGTGGCCTGTGAGCCCCGAGCAAGGAGAAAGGGAGGGTCAAAGAGAGCCCCGTGGAGAGTTTGAGGGCTCCTCACGCCCAGGGCAGCAGCCTCTCTGCCCCACAGCCACCCACACCCAAGCTAGGGAGGTCCTGCAATCCCGTATGCAGTTGCTGCCATTGCTCTTGCCCCAGTGCTGCCTGCAGCCCCGGCATCCCTCCTCACCCGGGTTTCTCCCAGCAAGAGCTGGGTCTGCAGGCAGGTGTGCCCATCACAGCCCCCTCTAACCTCCGCAACCCCTCCGTGCCCCTCACCGCGTCTCCGCCTCTTCTTCCCCAGCACTATAAACTCGCAAGGCACGTGCCCCGTCCCCACCGCCCACCCTGTGCGCCTGCACCCACACGCGCCTCCGGGTGCTTCCATTCCCTCCAGCGACCTTTGTTGAGAAGGGGCATCACCGTACTGGCATCCCTAACAAACTCGGGCACAGAGCCGCGTTGCTCGGTGCACGCCAGGCGAGCAGAAGTGACACGGGTCAGCCACGGACCTAGCACGGGAATCTGCTGGGAAGAACGGGAACCCACGTGCAGAACGACCGCATTCCATGGACAAATGGTCAACGGACAGAGAGAGGTGAGAAATGAGCCCCAGCTGGGCACGAGATGAAAGCACCAGTTGCTGGGGGTGGGTTGCAGGGGGAAAAAAAACTGACCGCGTGTGTATAGCGTATTATGCAAATACATGTATTTTATGTAAATACATGCAGACTAGATGCCAGCAGGCTCAGACTATCACAGGAAAGGAGATGTAAGACAGCGGAGAAGCGCTGATTTCAAGTAGCCGAGGAAGCAGCCTCCCCGCTGCAGCCCCGGGAGGAGTTGAGACCCAGCCCTGCGCCTTCTCCCCGCCTCACGCCATCGGGTGTGCTGCAACAGGGCAGCGGCACTGCCACGAACCGTTCTCCTTCCAGGGAGCCAGGCGCTTTGTCTATTTAGCCAAATAAGCGGCATTTACTTTCTCCACCCTTCGAAAAGCCCGCTCTGCTGTACGCCAGGGCAGCTCCAGTCCTCGCACCGGCTCCTTTTTCTCCGCCGCGGCCGCCCTGCCGGTCCCCAGGCTCGCCCAGCCTGGCCCCCCCGTGCACCGGAGTCGCTCCAAAGCTCACCAAAATCACTGCAACCCCGGCTTCAGGGGCTGCCCAGGGAGGTGCTGATGCTGAGAAGTGGATCTCGTGTGAAATCTCTCCCTAACGCTCTCTGAGGCAGTGCCTATTTATAACATCCAAGAGCAAAGCATAGATCCTTTTTTTTTTTTAAACAAAAAAACCCCCAACTCCCTGGATTTGTTTTCACGTTTCCTAGTAAATGGCTACATTTTGCAGCTCCTTGAAATGTAAGTGCCATGGACCACTCTGCCTAGGTGTATTTTATCAACCCTTTTATGCCTGAGACAGTTTTTTTGAGCACTTACTCTCAGCTCCTGCATCTTCCATTCACCCACCTCACCAGGCAAGGTCTTTAGCTGGGGTAGTTCCCTGGAAGCCCCCGGGGCTTCAGCTACTGGCTTTTGCTGGAGATCGGACCTATTGATTTCACTTGAGTCACTCTATTAACCGGGAGAGAACGGCCGGAGGATGTGGGCTGCCTGTGGTGTACAGTCCTATTTATGGTGCAGTTCAGAAATGAGGATTTCCCACAGGGGCTGCCCTTCACATGGATGAAAGAAAATCAATCAAGAGTTGCTGGCCACCTATGTAAACATATGCAGAACATATGCATACATCAGGAGGGCCAGACTATCATTATCCTGTGCAATTCCAGTGGTGTCAACCCAGAATTGCTCCTGGCTGCAGCTGAAAGCCAGATTAAACACACCACAGCTGCAGCAGGATACAACCAGGTAAGGATTTGATTCACGTCTACTGGACGTAAAAATGATTTGCCATGCTCTTTTCTTGTATTATTTTCATGAGTAGAGGTTTGATCGTTTGGAATTTGAATTCTCCATGCAGCGATGCAAACCTGGCACAGCGGGGTTTGCTCTCCACACCTACGGAGCTTTAAATTTCCTTCCACTCTCTGCGTAAATCCCAGTCTCTCACAGTATCTTTCAGTTTGGCCCCTTGCTTTTAATACAGAAAGGGTCACTTACGATCATCACTGAAGTCATCCACTAGTATGATTTCATGGACGAGGTGCACAGGGGTACGGTTCCGCACGCTGAAGCATGACGAGAGAAAATCCATGACAGTGCTTGACCAACTCAACAACCCAGCAAACAGGGTGAGAAAGCCTAGGAACTGATCCCTGCCAAAGCACAGAAGACCAGGCTTGGATTTCCAGAAATTATACACCAGACAGGGCCCAGAAACCACTCACCACCATGCTGCCAGCAACCTACAGTGCCTGGCTGTCAGCTCCCTGTAGCTTGATCTAAGAGCCAAGCGCCCGGTATTCCTGGCAAATAGCTGAGATTCACCCTTGCCACCTTTGCGAGCAAAAGCAGAGCACCACGTAAGGCCAGGAGAAACAGGCTTTTCCGCAACACGCGCATCGCACCAAGTTCCCCAACGGGGCGTACTGCAGCGCTGCCATCACCCCCCACCTCTCCCGGGGCTCATGACACGGCGTCCGCCGACAGCAGGGCCAACACGGAGAAGATTACCCAGCTCAAACCCATCTTTACAGAGCTCACAGCCGTGGCGGGACAGCTCCTGTTTTTACCCGTGAGCTGATTGCGTTTCAGAGGCTGCCGAGAGGACGAGCGCAGGGTTGGAGCCTGCCTATTTAATGAGAGAGAGAGGCTGGAGGATGTGGCTCACAGCTCCCTCCAGGTGGACAGACACTGTGAAACATGGCTGAAAGCGACAATCTTCCCTTAATTAGGCCACCAAGTTTTTTTTTAATTATTATTATTAGAAAGTCTAGACCTCATCTCCCCCTTTCTTGCACAGCGCTGAGGTTGGCAAAATTACACGTGTGTAAAATCCTGCCCACCAAAGGGTCAAGGCTAACTTCTTGAAGCAGAAACCCCAGGGCATCCCAAAAACCTCCTAAGGGCTTCACATAGGCTTTGATAATGCCAGTTGGGTGGCACGGGCCATTCCAGAATTTAAACTCCTTTGCCTTCCTCCTGCGCGCGGTTCCTTTTTCAAACAGGATTTAAAAGCCCCCCCAGATTTCACCCCTGAATCTGCCTTCTGGTCTGGGTTAAGAAAAGCCTTCAGCTGGCGTAAGAGGACAGACACCCCTTGAAGCCCCTGACACCTCCAGATCCTTATCAACAGGTTTCCCTAGCCTCTCAGGCTCCCAGAGCCCCGGCAAAGAGCCTGGAAGCCTGGAAAACCACATCCCTGGCCCAGATCCCAGTCAAGAGGGCTCTGAAGGGCAGAATGCCCAGGGAACCCAGGTGCCACCAGCCCAGCTGGTAGGAACCCAAGAAGGTCTCACAGCATCACCGCCAGATATCCAAGGACGCTCATCCAAAGGCCTGCACCTCTCTGATGAAACCTTCTTGATGAAAAACCACAAGGCCACCTGCCCAGGAGGGCTTGGAGTATCTATACCTATTAGCAGGTGCCAGCATCCACCAGGTGCTGGAATTACAACACTCTAGAGAGAGAAAGAGTTGAGCCAGAATTTTTGGGGAGGATAACAGGACCTCCTAAGGCAGGTGCTTCAAATGGATCCTTCCTCCATGGTTTGTGGGGTTTTTTACCCCATCAGAAATACTGAAAAAAAAAAAAAAAGGGGGTTTTATCTCAGAGCAGAGTGGGTAAGGCTGGCACCTCCCTTGTGGAGCTCCTCAACATCACTTCCAAGCCCATAATTACTTTCTCTGGAAACAATCCCAGCCTCCTCCAGTTTCAGGAACTTGGCAAAACCCATGATTTCCCCCCCACACTTCAGATGTTTTGCATGTTAAGGTTGGGGTGGGGTGGAGAAGAAAGCCTCTACCCCCTAAGCAACAGTCATAGTGGGAGTCCTATCAGCCAGGAGCTGCTGTGGCCACCCCAGCGTCGCTGAGGTTTGCACCGAGCCGGGTTAGACAACACCCCCTCGCCAATGCCCGCAGCCTGCACGAAGGCTTAGAGAAAGTGGCTGAACGCTCCTCCTCCCGCTGGGGCACACGGAGTAATTTAGATGTGTTGTTCCCACCTGTCAAGTGTTTTTTAATTATTATTATTAATAGGTTTGTTATTTTCAAAAAATCCCCATATGTGAGAGCTGAGTTCAGCAAATTACCGCAGCTGAGCGTCAGTACAGAGAGACAGGAGAGCAATATCATGCTCAGTGGAATATTTAACAAGCACTGATTGCCTGGAAACCTAACTTGGTGAAACCTGCAGGAAAGAAGCAGACTTGTAAAAAAGCCAGCAAAATAAATAAATAACCCGCCGCGAGCAGAGGAGGGGGAGGGAGTGGGTAACTTGCATATTCAAAGCCTGCCTCCGCCCAGTCTCCCCTATAGATTCGCCCGCCAGAAGTGCAATGCAGGGCTTAACTCTACAGGAAGGCAGTCACAAAGGGGCTGAGCTTGCTTTCGCTGGTGCCAGCAAGAATAACGCAACTAGAACCGCTGCACTGGGCTGTAGACTCAGACCGGGGCTCGTGGCAGTACCCAGTGACTTGGACGAGTTCCCCCCAGGGCACCTCTTACGGAGGAAAACCCAGCTCGGGCCATTTCCAAGGCGCTGGGCTGGGGAGATGTGCAGCCCCGTCTAGGCTCAGCTGCCGGTTCCCGCTGTTCCCGGATCGAGCCGTTTGCTGCCAACTCTGCGCCTCGGCTTGCCACCCCGTAAATGAGGGAAGATGTCCCCTGAATGCCAAGAATGGCCATCTCTGGGATGCAGAGGGTTGACCAGGGCAAGGTGTAAAAATCAATCAATCAATCAATCAATCAATCAATCAATCAGCACACAGGCTGATGCAGGAGGGACCTCGCCAAGGCTTGCCCCAGCTCCGTGAACCGTCATCCTTCCACGGGGTTAATGACAGACACCGTCATGGGTGACGCAGCATCCCCCAGCACCGAAAGCATCCGCACCCAGCACCATGACAGCCCTCTCCCAGTCCTTGTGGGACTCGCCTACAGCATGACACTACCCCCAATCCCAACTGAACAAAGCCCCGGTGAGGGTGGTCCAAAAACTAGGTCTACCACAGCTCCAAGGGACCTGGTGCCCACCGATTCCAGCAGGCTTTGAGCTCGTTGCCGCTCTTGCGAATCCGCGCACAGACCCCTGCAAGCCCCAAACCTGCTGCTAGGCTGGGGGCCGCTTGACCCAGGCACCAGGAGATGCGCAGCAAAGGCTGCGGCCCCATGGCTGCAGCGTGCTCCCCAAGGCAGCCGAGAGCAAGCTCGCCAGCTTTTCAGCAAAGCCAAATTCACGTCTCCAACACGTTTTCTACCTGTGCTCTATTAATCCCACGATAACGCACCCATGCCGCTGGAAACACAGGAGATGATAAACACCCCTCCTGCAATGCTCCTCAGGGAGGACAGGAGACAGAGGCACCAAATACGGCACTTTTTCAATGTGATGGGGATTTTTTTTTCTTCAGATAGACTATTAAAAGCACTTCTAAAAATTCAAAGACAGCTTTGCTATTAGTTGTGCCTTTTCTCAGCTTTGATTTTTTTTTTTAATACTTTCTTTATGTGTGTGCACGGCTTTTTTTCCTTTTATATGGGTAAAATCAGAAGACAATTAATATTATAGTGCTTTGAAGTCCCCCTGTTATTTATAGAATTTTTTTCTTTGAAATCAAACATAGGTAGATACACTGCAATGATTGGCATATTCTAACAAATCAAAACAGCTTTTAAGTTCTGTTGAGCCAGAGATCACAACACTTTCTCCCTTAAATCACTGAAAGACCTGTTACCATTGAAATGAAAAGTCATGCTTCTACTCCAGAAAGCGCTTATGCTTTTTCAAGCCCATAAGACCAGATTTGGTGCTGAATTATCTTGAAAAGTTAATGCTGAAATTTTCTTCGCTTCAATAGATTTAGCAGATGTTACACAATGGAATCACAGAGAATTTCACCTTAAATCTTCATCGTAAGGTCCTTCTTTCATCCTTCTCAACAGTTTGTTGGGATCCTTTTCCACCTACCCAAAGGTAAGCACTAGATTCAACAATTTCATCTCCAAACAAATACCAATGCAAAAGTCACCTTGGCATGTAAGACACAGAAAATGTTTGCAGGGAGAAGTTCAGATCTTCTGACCGAAGGTCGGTATGTTTTTGGTCATCACCCAGAATACCAGTTGCTTTAGAGGGGTGACTGTGGACATTGATCCTTGGGAATTCACAAGCCGTTAATTAATTTTCTCCGCGGCAATATATTGGGACTTATTTGGGAGAAAAAAACATTTGGGAGTTTAATAAAGTGTCAAAAGGGCCAAGGGTCATAATTATTGAAATCAGACTGAGAGCAAGGAGAGAAAATGCCCGCCAAAATTAACTGCTTCAACAACCCAAGATGACTGATTATGTGGGAAGAGAGACATCACACCAAGAATAACCATAATGAGCTTTGATTACACTGCGGCTTTCGCATTTTATTCTTTCAGATACCCACCAAGCTCTTTGAAATTCAAGAGTTCTCTCACGTTAACATCAAAAGGTAAAAGCGCATGGAGGGATGTGCACTTAGTCACTGTGAGAGAGGATTAGCAAATTAAGAAAAAAACATCCAGGGTTTAAGCAAAAAGCAGAAAAAAAAAATAGTAAGCACAATGTGCTAATTATACAGTTTCTCCGCAACACCTGGCTTGTTTTCGCTTCTTCCATCGGGCTCGTTTCAGTTATGGCACAGATTCTATACGGTGCCGCCGCTGCCTAAGGAAGGAGGCGCACGGCTCTGTCGTTTCCCTGCCTCAGATGCGCCTGGATGCAGACGAGGTAGCGGCACAGGGAGAAGGTGTGAGGTGCTGGCTGTCCAGGACGTCGCTTCTCTTACTCATGAGCACTGGAAAATGAAAGGCATGATATGCTCCCTGCTAATTAACGATCTAAATATTTGATGTGGTGTTTGCAGCACTTGCAATCAGGACTTTTGCCAAAGGATGTGTTCCGGTTTGTCAGCGAGAGGTAAGTAATTAAGTCTCCTTATTCCTGTTCTGAGCTCCCCAGCTGCAGGTTTGAAGACTAAATAAATAAAGACCACTCAGCAGAGTAAACAGGGCTGCCTCTTTCTCGCCCTCCGCCCGGCAGGTTGCCAGCACAACAGCCTCCGACGCTCCTCTCCTGCCCAGCCTGCGCCAGCGCCGACCGGCCGTCAAGCTCCCCGAATTGCCTTGCTGGAGAGAGTCACAGCACGACGGTCTCCGACGGTCCGGGAGCGGAGCATCACCCCAAGCTGCCTGCAGTTCCGCCTCCCCCAGCCCTGCCTCCATGGCGGGCGGCGTTCCTCTCCCCACCGCTCCCAGGCACGCTCCCAGGGACGCTCCCAGGCACGGGGCAGGCACCAAGCCCGGCTCCCTGCAGACCTCGGCAGGAGATGCCGTGCCGCACCGAGCCCTGAAAGCACGACTGTCCGCCCAGTGGCGGCCGCGTCTCGGCACGCAAGCGTGCCCATGCCTGCCGGGGAGGGATGGGAAAGAAAGAGGACGATGTTCTCATAGGCAAGGCATGGAGCAGATCCCCCTAAGCACTATTGCCCAACGCTGTCAAGAGCCCCAACACCCAGCCCAGCCCCAGGTGACAAGGAGAGTGCCTTTCCTGGCCCTGCTGCTCCTTTTCCTCCTGTGACTGCTATGGCTTTGGGGACACCCTTAAGCTCTTGCTCTGGAGGAGCTGGACAGCTAATGAGCTGGACAATGAGCTGGATTCCCTTCCTAAAACCAGGCTAGCACAGGATGGAAAGAGAAGAAAGAAGAAATTGCGTATTTTTTTTCCAAAATGCCGCTGTATTGCTTATTTTCTCCCTTGCTCCTGCCTTTCCTCCTCACATGGTCCCATCCCCATACTGCTGGAGACTCTCACCATCTTTGATGTGCTGAACCTTGGAGCTTGAAAGATATGAAACCGAACCGCAGGGGTATAAGAAACTTGCCCAAGGTCATTCGAAAAGTGAGTGGCGGAAACAACAACCCAGTGGCAGTTTCTTCACTGTCCGCGCAGTACAAAAATAGAATCTCAAGAGCTACTTTGCTATTCACCATCTCCTCCTTTCTGGCCTCTTCTTCCCTGTTCTATTTCCCTTCCTCACGACACCCATCCCCCACTGCCCGGACACTTGCACGTATTCACAAGCATAGTTACATACGCATTTATAAATGCTGACTACATCATTTGCAGAGATTTGGGCGTTCGATTAATTTAGCTTGTCTTTTTTTTTTTTTCCCTACTTTTCTTCCAGCTGGCAAATGGTCAGAGAAAAGATCATGAAACTTTTAAATTAATTCATTATTCAACACAGTCCACTAGCTTTTCTCAATACCTCTACGCAAATTGTTCATAAACGAACTGTCACAAATGCTCGCAACGTGACTTGCGTGAAGGAAGGGGTGCTGCGGAGGCCATGTCCTGGTGCCTCTGCTCCACGGGTCAGAGCACTCGCATCCTCGCCCAGAGCCGAACGCAACACATTCAGCCTGTGGTACAGCTCAGCCTCAGCACTCGGTGAGCGTTGAAGCTCTCAAGCACCTAGGAAAAGCGTAGGAATAGCAAAATCCCTCCTGCTTGTTGTGTACGTGGTCCCCTCTGCAAGAGCCGATTTCCTCCTCTGCTACAGGGTACCTTCACCCGCATTTCCCTCTGTCACCCCTCTGTGTTTACACAGGGTCCTGTATGAAGTGCTCCTTCTGGGGGGCTGATGCCCCATCGCCCCATGGCTTTGGACAAGCCGAGCACTGTCCCTTCGCCCTGTTTCTTGCTCCTGCCACAGCAGTTAACTGAGAACATTCATTTTGCAAGGAGGCTGGAAAACCCAACTTGTTGGAACTCAGGAAACCAGGTTTGCAACCCAAATCTTCTACCACCCACAGGCAAATCACCTCTGTGTTCCTCAGCCTGTCCATCTGTCAACTGGGCTATAGCAAGAGTGCACCATGGAGACGTACTGGGGAGAATAGGGGAGAAGAGATGCCCATTTTTCCTCACCACTGTGCTCAAAGCACTTGGAGACACTTGGCCACAGACGGCTCCAAAAGGCACAAAGCAGTGTCAGGAGGAGAGAGTCTGTTTGAATGGCAATGGAAAATGATCCATGTTGTTACAGCCACCGTGGGATGGACTTGTCTAGAAGATCTAATTAAACTAAGTATTTGCCGAGCAAGGGGGAAAGAAACAGAGCAGTCAGAAGGCACAGCAAATTAACCTACAGAGGCTGAGGAGGCAGATGAGCTCTCAGCTGGGTCCAAAAACAAGCAGGGAGGTGACAATACGTGCACAATCATGGCCAGAGAGAAGCAGAGCAGGAGCCACGTCACCAGCACAACTTGCCACCAAGGGCCAGTTGGATCAAAGCAAGCCTCTAAGTACTGCATCCAGGAGGAAAAGAGTGAACCCTGATGCCAGGAGGCCACCTCCAAACCATGGGGACCAGAAAAAGGAGGGTCAGCTCAGGAGAACTCAAGATCTTAGCCCAGGAAGAAGCAGGGGACTTGGGGACCCAAGGCTGTCATCTTGGTTCCTCACCACCCAGGCTTGCCTCTGTGGTGCAGCTCAGTGGGATACTCCATGGGGCTCTGGCATTGTTTGGAGATCAGCCTACAGGAAAGAGGGCTCAGAAGGGGCCCAAGAGCTGGGGAAAACCTCCCCACAGACAAAACATGAGTGCTGGAATTGCCAGGGCATGTGAGCAGGGAGAAGCAGTGCACGGGGGCAAGGTTGTGGTGGAAACACCACACAACCAGGTAAGGAAGGCAGTAAAGCCAACTAATCAAGTCAAGCAAAGAAAAGAGGAGGAACAAGGAAGAAAGTCTTTTCATAGCTGGAAGTCAGAAACTTCAGAAGACAACATATTGGAGGAAGAAGGAAAATTTCTAACCATGGCATCACTGCAATGAACAGTTCTGTAATGAAGCCAGATATGGGGGATCCAGACATAAGAGCTGTATCATGGGTCTAACATCTCTCACATGACAACATCAGTCATGATCATACTTGCCAGGACAGTCAAGTGCTGAATTATGGGGAGAAACGATATTAAAGTCCATCCCTGACTTAACATGTTATAAGCATCTTATATCTCAGGGCCTAGAGGACTGCACTTGGCTTTGCCTTGCCATCTCCATTACAACAAGCTCTGGAGAATGGTAAACCTGTGCAAGGCACTGTAAAGATAAAAGAGAAGGTCCAGGATCAAGGAGTTGGTACACAGCACCAAGTGTCAGTGTTATGCACACCCAAAATCCACACACTCTAGAGAAAGCAAGCGGTGATAGATTATTAAGTATGAAGCGAAGGAGATGGGATCGGGCATGAAACCATAAAGCAAAGCAGGAATTCAATTTCAGGACTGTCAAACTCACTTGTGGCATTGAGCGTGTTCACCTGAGGAAGGATACTGTTTTCAGAGAAGAGCCTGGTGAGGATGTGACGGTAAACAGGGCACAGCTGAAGTATCGCCTCAGCCAGCAACCCCAGTCTGACCAGTACCGACGACGGCAAGAGGTCCCTGGGAACCTGTCAGCGTTTAACTGACAAGGCTTGCAACAGGGCACAAGTGTTCACTGTGTGGCCATGAGACACCTGCAAAACACTTATCACCATCACAGAGCAGAGCACACACAAGCTCGCTACAGAGGAACCCACTAGCTGAGACCTGGAGATAGACCCCTCAAAGGTGTCATAGACACACCTCACTAAATCTTCCCACAAGAGAATTTGCAGATTCAAGGCACACATTGGGATTAAACACTGATTTAAAAAAAAAAAACTGTGGTGAAAATGAAGCCTTTATTCTATCCACTACAGCAAAACACAGCTGAGAACAAACCAACACATGAAGGAATGGCCACGTGCCCAGAGCGCTCCACCGTGTATCCAGAGGAGTACAGAGACCGTCCTTGAAAAATCTAGGCTGCATGTGCACCATTAGGGCTTCCCAATTAGCAAGCCGTTCTGGCACTTGATGGGTCACTGGAGAGGCTCAAACAGCAGTACTGGAACAGACATCTGCAGAATAATAGCTTTCCCTAGAGGACTGGGACAAAATACAGCTGAGCACTGATACCCAGCTGGATATAAAACCTCTTATCCCTGACTCTGTCTAATCTTCTGCTGCTCCCCCAAGAGGGTCCCATGCTGGACCCTGCAAAGGGAGCACGGCTACTTACTTTCCTGAGCATCCCACTGCAAAATCTACTTCTCAGAGACCAGCTTTCACACTAATTTCTCCCGGTAATCATTCGAGACCGCAGCTGGTCCCATTGCTGCATTGAGTGCAAACAGATTCCGCCTTTATTCACGAAAACCTCTAGCCTACTCACCCCTTTTTAAGGGCAGATTGGGAGCTCTTACCTCCGAATCGTCCTTAGCAGGGTTGACCTGGCCTCATTGTGGAAAGTGATGATGATGCTGGTTGGCGGGAGGTCGTGGCGATAGTGCAAAGTCGTGCACCTGGAGAGGGAGAAAGAGGAAAAGGCCGTTCAGGTGCTGGAATTCAAAGTGGGAGCTCCCTTCATTAACACAGGCAGCAGATAGTCCATCACTATCACCTCCAGCCACTATTTAAAAAACAAACAAACAAAAAAAAGTTTTTCTGCATGAAACCTTTCTGAAGGAGTCCAGAAACTCCCAAGTAAGTCACTGAGGATTAAAGCAGCAAAAAGAGCTTAAGTGTCATTAATAGGAAGGGATGAGAAAGGAGGCACCCAGCTTGCAGCCCTTTTCTCTAACCATTGCTTCCCAGCTATCACACCCTCCTGGCACCACCAGCCACCCAACCGACAGGCAGTGGGAAAATAAAGGCCCTCCCTTTTTACATTACTTATAGCAACACGACCTTCAGCAAAGATACTCCTCACTGACGTTAGCGTGATGGGATCAGAAACGGGTCCTTCGTGCTAAAGGCAAGGCACGGGTGTGGTGCTTGCAGAAGGCCAGCTGCAAGTCTTAAGCTGCCTCGGTGGCTCTGTAAGCTTCACGGGCCTCTTGGTGTCATTCCAGAAATACTGGGTCATCATGATGAGGTTTTTTTCTTTCTTAAATTGAGGCAGAGGCCCGAGCACTCTCACACCCACCCAGCTGGTGGCAGCAGTGGAGGTAAGAGCATCACTGCAGCTCCAGCTCTGAGCCACCTCTCTCCCACCTGCAATTTCCACCAGCTGGCTGCAAGGTAAGCCAAGTCCTGTTTCTAAATTGATTGTTTCCTTATTCATTCTGCCTTCCTGGGATAACCTGACTGCAGGGAAGATTGGGATTTAACACTTTCCAAGCCAGCCTGCAGAAGGTGAAAACCCACAACTGCAACCACAGCCCCTGCTGCCTCCTTCCGGGAGGAAACGTCGTAGACTCTATAATTACTTTGACCTTTAGCTGATGAAATTTGTGGCTTTTATAGACTGACTCCAACACATTTCTAGTTCAGGAAATCTAGATACACCTCTTACATCTGTGCTGCTCTCTCCAGGTCCCTGTCAGCCCCTATGATGGCCTTAAAATGACACACCAGTGGCAGGAGGGGCTCCCATGCCCAGCCTGAGGAGCTTCCCATCACAGCCATCATGCCCCTTCCCATCCACACACCACTCTCCTGCTCTTGTGTCACTGCCCAGATGCTACCATTACCACCCTCAAATGAAGCAGGAAAGAGAATTGAGCAATTACTCTTTCAAGAAACCATCAGTTTGATCCCCCAAAGCTCTGCATCATGGTATCTGCAAGGTAAAGTAAAGAGAGATGGAAAAATTAAGGTGGGGAAGGGGAGAAGAAAGCAAGTAACAGTAGCCAAATATTGCTGGTTTGAGCTATCAGCACGGCATGTTGCACATCAGAAATGTCAAAATGCTTGAGATATTATTTTTAATGAGGTTTTTCACCTTTTCATTTTGAAATTGCATTTCTGATTATTTACAAAATGACCTAAATGAAAGGAAAAAAGTGTGGAAAAGGTAAAATGATTCCAAAGATAAGAAAAAACATGACATCTTGGGTGAGACAAACTATTTGCAAGCTCAAACTAAATTGGTTGCTGCCTTCTTTCATCAAAAACTTCCCCAAATCCTGCCTCAATGCAATCAAAGCAGATTTCTCATTACCACCCTGTTCTTTCAGCATAGTCACCAATCCCAAAATTCATCATTCAACCAATTCTAATTCTACGTCCATCCTCAAAGGACACTAAAGTTGTATGGCCACTCCAAATGCAGGAGAAAATTCAGTGACATTGCCCTGCGCGACAACACCCTCATTCATCAAAGTTACATCTCAGGGATGCTAAAAGCAGAAGGTTTCTGAATTACTAAACAGCACCGTGTGATGCCCCGAGCTCAACTGGGTCGCTGTGGCCCCTTGCATCACCCAGTAACCAACTTAGAATCACAGAATCATTAAGGTTGGAAAAGACCTTCAAGATCATCAAGTCCAACCATCAACCCAACACCACCATACCCACTAAACCATGTCCTGAAGCGCCACATCCACACGTTTCTTGAACACTTCCAGTGATGGTGACTCTACCACCTCCCTGGGCAGCCTGTTCCAATGCCTGACCACTCTCTCAGTGAAGAAATTTTTCCTAATATCCAGTCCAAACCTCCCCTGGTGCAACTTGAGGCCATTTGCTCTTGTTCTGTCACTGGTTACTTGGGAGAAGAGACCAACACCCACATCGCCACAACGTCCTTCCAAGTAGTTGTAGAGAGCGATAAGGTCTCCCCTCAGCCTCCTCTTCTCCAGACTAAATAACCCCAGTTCCCTCAGCTGCTCCTCACAAGACTTGAGCTCCAGACTCCTCAACCAGCTTCGCTGCCCTTCTTTGGACACACTCCAGCACCTCAGCATCCTTCTTGTAGTGAGGGGCCCAAAACTGAACACAGGATTCAAGGTGCGGCCTCACCAGTGCCGAGTATAGGAGCACGATCACTTCCCTGCTCCTGCTGGCCACACTATGTCTGATACAGGCCAGGATGCTGTTTGGCTTCTTGGTGAAGGCCAACTTCAGCTGAGCTTTCCAAATCTGATATGGTGAGAAAGAAGCTGCTGCTGCTGCTTGGCGCCTGGTTTGCCAGGCTCAGGCTCACCTCTTGCTCGCTTTGTGGAGCTGCAGGGACAGACTATGCTGACTGTCCTCCCTGTGCTGTTTATACACCGTTATCTCCTAACCATTCCCAGATGTGTGTCCTTCCGCCCACTTCCAGAGTGGCATCAGGAGGGGTTGTGTGGAGATAACAAGGGAAGCTATTTCTGGAGAAGAATGAAAGCGGGTGGAAAATACAAAGTCATCAATACTTTACTTACGTTATTACAAGTGTTAAGGAGCTAATAAATCAACCCGCGGCAGATGCGTGCTGTGTCACCCACCAGCGGGAGCGACAGCGATACCGCACGCCGGCTGAGCCTGCCAGCGCTACAATGAAGGCTCCCCATGCGTGACAGCACCTTGTTTCTAAAAACCCACCTGTCTACACACCAGGTCAGCCTAACCAGGCAACGTGCAGCTGGGAAACGCTGAAACGTCAAACGTTGAAACGTCCTCACCTCCGGAGCTTGGACCGCTGGCTCCGCGACTCGCCCCTGACTTCCCTCTAATGAGGCTCGTCGCGCCCCAAAGGTGGAACCGACGACGAGAGCCGGCGGGGACCCTGCAGCACCCCCAGCCTCGCTTCACCTCTGCGACCAGCACTGCAGGTGGGACTCGCCTCCCCGAAAACCAGCCCGACAAGGGTTAGGCTGAGCTGCTGCATCTGCCAGGGCTTCTCCAGGGTCCCTATGTGGCCCTGACTCTACCCTTGCCCAGGATTTTACCCCCGGGCGCTTCCTTCAGGAGCCCTCCCCAACCTTCCTCCAGTTGGTCCCTTATTTCTGTCCGTCCCCCGCCAGTGTAACTACAGCTAAACACCCTGGCTCCCCAGAAGGCAGATTTCAGTTTAAGTTGTTGACTACAAGTGTTTTTTTGGCACTTGCTTGGGTAATAAAAACCACAGCTTGGAAAAGCATTAAATCCAGCATGTCCAGAATTATTTTGTGTGACAATTACATCTGGGGTAATTTCAATTTAATACCTCACTGCAAGTGAAAATTGCAGCATGCAGCCCTAAAATTGCTGTAATAATGAAAATAAACCCGCTAAGAGCTGCCTGTGCTACCGCAGGCTGTCACTGGATAAACGTTTTGTGCTGCTTATGGTATTTCATAGGTCACCCAATTGCCAACAAAAAAAAAAACCACAAAAAAACCACCCACAACATTTTCAGGAAACCAAGAAAATTTTGAGTTTTGGGGTTTTTTTTTAGACTGTTCAAAAAAAAAAAAGTTTAAAAAAAAAAAGTCATAACTGCATTGCTTATAGTTGCAGTGTGTTGAAACTCACAGGCTGAAGTCATTTAAAGTTGCATACTGTGAAACTTGCGGCAGGGCTGGGGAGCAATCTTAGAACAACAAGTGCTAGCAGGAACGCTGCCAGGCTGAAGCGCCTGCAACGTGGGCTGCTCCGCCAGCTCACAGCATCTGGGGCACCAAAACAAGACAGAAGCTAGGCTGGCCTGCCCTAAAAACCCCAGCGAGAGCATCCAGCTGGAGAAACAATTATTATTTCCTCCTGCAAACCCAGAAGTCAAACTCATTTGATGGGAAGTTTGACTTTTCTGTTTTAAGGTCATTTCCCATTCAAATTTGAAATAATTTCAGACTAAGAAAGTTATGAAAGAGGCATTCTGGCTGCAGACACCTTAGGAATCTCCTTTGGAAAATCCCAGCCTGGACTGGCTGCCCGCCGTACTTCCTTCGGGGTGGAAGGAGCGGCACATCTCATCTCCGTGTTCCCAATGTGCCATCAACACCTCCGGAATAAATCACAGCGCACCTCGTTGCAGGGATAGGGAGCAGACAGCCAGAGCCCTGCGCTCACTCCAGGAATCGCAAAGCCCTCTCACAAAGTTGGGCTCGCCAGCGTTCCTCACAGGCCTCCGAAATCCTTCACTCTGAAGACTTTTTTCTTGCGTTGCATCGACCCTTGTGCTCCTGGTGAGCAATGGGGTACCGCACCCTGGGAGCTTCTGCACGCAGCCGCCCCTGCATCCCTAGAGGTCCTCCTGATGGGGCAATGTTCGCCCATTCCCAGGGCATCTCAACCCATCTTACGTTTAAAGTGGCAGACTTAACTCATAGTGACCCTCACCAAACTAAAGCCCACCTTGGAAACACCACTAAGCAGCACAATGGTAAAGACTAATGCTATGAACAGACATGGACCCTGTTCCTCAACCCCTCCTGGTCCACCCCTGGTCTCATCCAGAGTGTGTTTTCCCCTTGACATCTGCCATCACGTGCCCACAGAGCTGTGCTGTGTCTCCTGAAACCCACCTCTCATGCTCATGCCCTCCTGTGCCTTATTAACTTCCTTCAAGAGATGACTATCCTCATCGCGCTCCCCCAGCTTCCCCTGCCAGGCTTCTGCT